CCTATAGAAGTTCTTCATGTTACCCTTAACACCCTTGGCCGTATTTAATTCTGTTAGGGCTTTAACTTTCCTAACCTGATCTCTGGCTTCACAGACAGTGTCTCTGTATTGTCCCCAGGCTACCCATCCTTGCTTCCACCCTCTGTATGCTTCCTTTTTTTGTTTGAGTTTGCTGAGGAGTTCCTTGTTCATCCACACAGGCCTCCTGGCATTTTTGCCTGCCTTCTTCTTTGTTGGGATGCATCACCCCTGAGACTGGAGGAAGTGATCCTTGAATATTAGCCAGTTTTCTTGGGCCCCTCTTCCCTCCACGGCTTTATCCCATGGGACTCTTCCAAGTAGGTCCCTGAAGAGGTCGAAGTCCGCTCTCCTGAACTCCAGGGAAGTTATGCTAGTGTGACTCTGTGTATCTTGACTGGGACCCCAGAAAACACCTGAGCCTAGATGAACTGCAGGTTTTGTAGTTCTGTTTTACAGAGCCCTGCTGTGTGGAAAGTGCTCTGAAGAGCTACACGTGATATTCAACAGCAGTAAATCCATAGTGGAATGGGCCCTTGGTAGGATTTTTCTGCATCTTAAGGTTAAAGCCTTCTTTAAGCCAAACTGTTTCAGGTTAGTTTGTCTCAGACTGTGCACCTTCTTATGAGGAGCTATGGTGGAGTCAGACCACGCTTTAGTACCACTTTGTATGATATGTGTGAATACCACACCGTGCAAAGAGTTGCGGTTGCATAGTGCTGTCCCTGCTCGTCAAGGAAGAGTTGGATCTGGGTAATCAACATGTTTCTAGTGAAGAATGGTTTAATTCTTTCAGGTTGAAAAATACTTCATATTTTAACTCCAAAAATCATCATTTAGAACATGTAATATCTAGCATATGTTTATTTCATTATAAGAGAAGTTCATTACTCCTGAATTTACAATCAGCTGTTTGAGGTATTTGAAACCTTGACGATAAGGAATACCTTTTTGTTTGGAGATGTGAAAAAAAAAGGGAGATTATTTGACTATGCTTTAGAAAATGCAGAAAAGCTTGTGTTTCACCATAGGCATACTTTACTCATCTTTTCGTCTTGAATACATGTTCTTCCTCTAAGAACATAAATGTAAAAACCTCATAAGCGTTTACATTAATTTACACTAGAAATTATTTTGTGGAATAAGCAGGGTTTGAGTATCAAACTGAGGTAACTATATATAGTCCAGAATCTGTGTTTCCTGAAATGTATGGAGAAATATTTGGAAGTGTCAATGTCTTGAGTATTTTAGAAAATCTATCTGTTCTTGAACAAGAAATTTTTATCTTTATTTTGAGTTAAAAAAAGAAAGTATTGTAAA